TGTGAACAACAAAAACATCGATGTTGTGCGCCGTATGATCAAAACAGACAGGCATATGACATACCATGAGACTCGGGCATCCTTAGACATAGGCATGAGTCAAATGCAATCAATACTACGCAAACATATGGGTGTGAAAAAGCTGTGCTCTCGGTGGATCCCACACAATTTGACTGAGGCTCAAAAAACGAATCGCGTCACTTGGTGCAAAGCCATGCTTACCAAATTCATCGAAGGGGCATCATATTTGGCGTGGGACATAGTAACAGGTGACGAAACATGGATTTATAGTTACGATCCCAAAACAAAGCAGCAATCGCGTGTATGGGTCTTTCGAGATGAGCCGAAACCAACCAAAGTGGCGCACGTGCAAAGTGCCTCTAAGCAGATGATTGCTTCTTTTTTTAATAAAACTGGACACGTGGCTACTGTAGCTTTGGAGAATCTTTGTACCGTGAATAGTAATTGGAACACGAGCATTTGTTTGCCGGAAGTTATTGACAAATTCCGTAAAAATAACCGTAAACGCCGTATCATCTTGCACCACGATAATGCCAGTTCTCAAACGACCAGACAGACAAATGAATTTTTGAAGGTGAACAACGTTGACCTTATGAGCCATCCCGCGTACAGTGCCGACCTGGCACCTTGTTATTTTTATTTATTTCCAAAAATTAAGAACCAGTTACGCGGTCCACGATTTTCATCATCTAAAGAGGCTGTCGAACAGTATGAAAAATATGTTTCAGAGATTGTCATGGAGGAGTGGCATAAATATTTTCAAAATTACTTCATTCGTATGAAAAAGTGCATTAACGCTAACGAAGAATATTTTGAGAAACAATAAATTCATTTCTGATCATTTACAGTAATTTTTTTCTTATTAATTCCGGAAAGTTATAGTACGCCTCACGTAGTACCTAGTAGTAGGTGCACAAATAATTGTTTTTATACAAAAGTAAGTGTGCATTTGACATCTATCAGGGGTAATGGAAAGAGACAACGAAGCATAAAGACCATGCCTTGAAAAGGCCCTAAGTCTGCAGGCAGGGAGTTGTTCGCTAGTTATAGTTTATGCTACCTACTTGCAAAATTCTTGTTTTAGCAAATAATATCATGACAAAGTTCAAAATAATTACTGAATGGATTCAATAAATGTATATTCTCATTTATAAGAGGATAACCTATTTATTATGCATCTATAAATAAAAATAGTCCCATTATTCGTAATATACATTGCATATTTTTTCATTTTCACGTCGTGTTTTCTCAATTCCATCATTTTTGAGTTACGACAACGAAACGTGGAAGCGTAATGCTTCGTGCGAACCTCTGGAATATCCACAACATAGAGGTGGAATCCCAGTCTACGTACGATGTCGTCTCGCGTTTGTCGCCCTTTTGTAATGTTAAATGCTTACTATAAGTAAATAATGAGTATTATCGATCTTTTCCTACGTAAAAAATCATAAACCCAAATTCACAACTTTAAAGGTTTTAATGTATTGTATGGAGTAAAATGAGCATACCACATGAGATATAAGTACAGCATATACTGTATAAGTAATTTTATTTGG